ATCTGAGAGTCGTTGACATTACAAATCAAACTGTACATAACAATTTATGCAAAATATGTTCAAACTCATCTTTGAAGAGAAGTTACGTTGGCAGTATAGTGAGAGAATACTCACTTACTACACACGTGTTCTGGAGCTTAATCCTCAATCGACGCACTTTTAAACTTAGTGAAGAGAGTAAGCTGACCGTGAGGATACCAACACCACACTGTAGAAACAAACAAACAAACAAACACTACTACTTAAACTTCCTAGGTCAGGCCTGAAGTCCTGCATTCTACTCTGAACACTTTGGAGTGACGTATGAAATATATTGCGGCAAAAATGTTCTCTGGCAATGTGTTGTAATTAGATAATATAAAAAAACCAATACGACAGTCTCATAAGTCTTATGTCGTTTTAGAGTAGTTTTACCAAGATGAAGTAGTCTTTAATGTAGTCGTATGCTCTGAGCTGGATGGTTTATTTACGGAGCCTTCATTGTCCTACTAGGCAATATCTTCAGAGCATACTTTTTTAATAATAATAATAATAATTTGCTTTGTTCCAAAAAAAAGTACTAATGATACAGAAAATATTTTCAGCATTCAGTACAATAGTGCATCTAATTTACTCGAAAACGACAAAACATAAAAATAAACATTACGTAATAATAATAAAACGTTGTTATAGCAGCTACATATCAAATTACTGTATGCAATACAGAGAGAAATATGCATAAAGTATAAAATTGTAGTAATAATAGTAATAACAACTAAAATAAAATAGCAAAGTTATAATTAAACGATAGAAAGTGTGACACCATAAAATACAGAAAGATGAACAATGAAAGTGTCGATTCACTGTGCTAATTACATAGTAACTTATGTGTTTCACGTCTAACAGAGTCTTCGTCACATAAAGTACGGCTAAATAGGGTATTGTAGAATTTCTATACTTAGTGGTACGAGCATATAACTTTTTATATTGACTTCTCGTCCTACCTGATGAGATACAAGGGGACAGGTGTGAATAAAGGGGGTGCAGAGGGTCTGACAATAGCCTTTGCCCATTTTGTACAGGAATTTATATGCCTCTCGACTATAGTATTAGCGAGCTCATGCAGTGGCAGACCACAAGCCTACTCACAGCATTTAATACTCTTCGTAATATGATATAATCTTTTTTGAGAAGCCCAGGAAAGATTAATGGAGAGCAATAGAGTACAATAGGTAAAATACAGGAGTTTAAAAATTGCAAAACTAAAGGTTGGTTGATACCTGATTGTCTTAACTTTTTAATGTAGAAGGTAAGACGAAACATTTTCTTAGAGATAGATAAGATGGGATGACCATGAAAGGTCAGAGGAAAGAACTAATCCAAGGTATTTAATGCTTGATTTGGTTTCAATTTCCGTGCCATCTATGCTACAGGGATCATGCGAACTAACTAGTTCAAGTAAGTCACGTCGATGCTTGAAAGTAAAGTCAAGCCTGACATTTGGAAGGATTTAATATAAGACCATTTGACTTGGACCACTTGTTGATGTCCAACAGAAAGCTATTAAGTTTGGAGCTGTCAGACTCGGAAGTGATAGGCAGTGATACAGTCAGATCATCTGCATATTTGACAAAGTTAGTTTCGTTTGAATGAGGCAGGTCATGTAGGAAGAAAGAAAAAAGAAAAGGAGAGAGGACAGCACCTTGTGGAACACCGGATTTTGTAAGCGAGGTAGAAGAAGATTTGCCGTTATATACAGTATACTGCATTCTATCAGAAAAATAGGAATGCAACCAACTCTTAGCCCAGGATCCTGTTTGTGTCAACGATAGCTTATTTAATAAAAGGCCCCTAGGTACAGAGTCAAAAGCAGATGTGTAGTCTAAGAAAGCACTACGAACATATTTAGCACCTTTGTCTAAACAAGAGACAACATTGTGATATAAGACAACCGCAGCATCCAAGGTACTTCTACCATGTTTGTATGCAAATTGTTTAGGATCATTAAAAGGTTTCAAAGCGGGTTCAAGACGAAGTAAAAGTAATTTTTCCATCAATTTTAAAAAGGGGGAAGTAATTGCAATAGGCCGAAATTTAATATCAGAACCAGAAGATGGTTTTGGTATAGGGATAATTTTAATGTTTTTCCATGCAAAAGGTAGAACGTTACCGGAAAAAGAAGCATTAAAAATGTTAGTAAGAGGATAACACAAAATATCAGCACAATTCCTGAGGACAATGGCAGGTATGCCGTCAGGACCAAGGCTTAAGAGACCGGAGACATTTAAGCACATCAAGGGTATTAAAACCACTAAAATTATTGTCAATATGATTTGTATCATTTGGAAGGGTATCAACAGAAGAGCGTATGAAAGATTTATTAAGAGTGTCAACATTAAGAGATGGAACAGAAATACATCGCTTACCGTTAGTAATTTCTTTGAAAAGTTTCCACAAATTAGAAGGGGTTTTACATGACAAAAATCTTTGATTATATAAAACATTTAGTCTTTTCATTTCCAGTTTTATCAGATGTTTAACTTTTTTACACCAGGCTTATCATTTGTTTTGAACAACAGTTCTTTATCTCTACGTAGCTTTTTGAGATATGAAGAAGCGATCAAATCGAATGAATAATGTTTCTTTAGGACAACATATTTCGAAACAGAATTTAAGATAATCAGTAGTGTTTGTGATTGTTTCATCTAATGTTTGTTCTGTAAATAAGTCCCAGTTAGTGTCTTTCAACATGCATCTGAGCTTGTCTAGGTTGTCTTGTGAGTAGCATCTCCGTTGAAATTTACTTTGAAAGAAGACACCTTTGTGCGATTTGGAATATATTTTAGGCAGTACACGTATGACACAGTGGTCAGAGTGTTATACAGTAATGTATAACACTGTGAGACTTTATCAAAACAAAAATTTACCCATAATGGAATTATACTCTACTACAGTACACAAGTTTTATTCTTATAACAGTGGTCAGAGTTAAGTAAAGGAGCACGTTTTTGAGCTTCATATAAACCAACATCATTAATGAATACTAGATCCAGTGTTTCACCAAGTCAACAATATTGTCATGACCAAGTGATATAAGGAAGGAGTGATCGCATGAATTAAAATCGCCAGTCACTATTGATAAAGAGTTCTCGAAGCAAGCTGCAGCAAAAGCGGTGAATTCATCTGCGAACATAGATAAATCCCATATGTTACAGCCAGGAGAGACATAAACATTAGAAATATAAATGAATTTGCATTTTGACAAGTTTTTCGGGCGACATCTAACAGTGATGTAATCAATGTAGTCATTCGAGAATTTGAAACAAACTTTGTTAGAAATGGACCATTTTGAGTGAATAAAAGTTGCAGCACCTCCGCCACATTTGTTCTTGGAACAAACACAGTGTTGTTGGAATACATTAAAATCATTTAGAGACACTATATTGTCATCATATGGGTCATGGAGCCAAGTTTCTTGTAGAGTGACAATACGAGTATTGTGGTAGATTCCTGACGACAACAGGGACTGAAAATCCAGAATTCTGTTAGGCAGGAACCGGTAGTTGGTACTAATGATAGCCGGAACAGTGTTGTGATGTATGGGTTTAGATTTTAAAGCACGTTGCCAACCACCATGGTGCTTTTTCTTGAGTTTATTACAAATATGAAAGTTTTGGGTTGAAAACCTTTTATAAAGTCCCGGGAGTGAATAATACGATTGGAATGCATAATTTGATATGTAAACACCACTGGCATACCAGGCTTCTAAAAATCTCTTACATTCTTGGTGTTTCCTCTGTCTAATATTTCAAAGTTGCCCCAATCGAACTGATGCCCATGGTTATCTGTAGGCAGTGGTATGAAGGGGAGGATATCATGTCTTTTCAGACTAGTTATAGTTCATGGATGCGAAGACGAAGAGGTCGTCCACTTTGGTCAATGTAGCGTTTTTCTCAATGGTTGCAATTTTTTTGGTTGATGATTTTGGTTTTGTCTTATTTCAATATTTAGTTTTTTTTGGTTGAAACAGAGCCGAGTGGAGTGATTTCGTTGGTTTATGTGCAACATCAGTTCCAAAGTGTTTGAAGAGTCTTGCGTTGATTCCCTTGCGGTGACATCCCTGATATTTGGTGAGATGGCTTTCTTTGTGCTTTCCTGGGAGACAGAGGAAACACCAAGAATGCAAGAGAATCTTTTCAGAAGCCTGGTAAACCAGTGAACCATTAATCAATACACACACTGACATAGACATAAATTACCAATTCATAAGGAGGAAATCTCATACACAAACTTAAATTGAAGCAAATAATCAACACCGAAACCAATATAAGTAGCGTAGAGGGTGTGAAAACACACAAAAATGACCAAAGGGTCACGTTTAAGGTGACCAGGAGAGATGACTTATGAACTCACAGAGAAATCTAGAAGCTTACTTCAACAAACTGAAGTATGATCTGAAGATGTTGCCTAGTAGGGGGGCAATGAAAGCTTCGCAAATAAACCATTCATTCAGCGCAGAAAAACACAACTACATCGGAACCATCCACCTGAGCTACAAAACTTCTCCATCATATGTACTAGTTTCCAGCAGGTAATTTTCGTCCTAACTGAAGAAAACCAGAGAAACATAATTCGTTCCATTGTGAAAACAATGACAAGTTTCATGAAACGGACGAATGCTAACAGAAGATGTCCGATGTTCTGATTGACCAATAACTTGCAGAAATTGCTCATTTTTGGCGAAAGATATGCATGTTTATAAAATTTCAAAATTAACAAATGCACAAGTTTACAGGCTGTCAGGCATAACGCAGCTGAACAGAGTTAACCTTCGGATATCCTAGATAAGTTTACAAAACTTTCAAGTGAAGACAGAATAAGAAAAAAATGCACAATTTGTTGATATATGATCAGAATATTTATATTGACAAGCTAAATTAAATTTCTTTTATAACATGAATTCAGTTAGTTCCATAGTCTTGTCGTTGAATCCAGAGTTTTTCCCGAGGGCTTCAAATTTCTCAAAGCAATGGGAAGTCCATCAGAGTATATCTAACAAAGAAAAGTAAAAAAATAGCAGTTGAATATTTATCACGTCTCAGGTAGTATTCAACATGTAATACAGTTTTTCTTGTGAAATATTTAGGAAATACATAGCAAAAGTTTATCTAATTTAAAATTACGGAATAAAAAAAGCAAAAAATGGAATTGATAATCGGTTATGTAAACTGGTCTTCATAGTCAATCTCTGCTTTATTCAATATATATCGACTAACTTACTGATTGGCAAGCCAAAACGGTGAACGGTTGATTGTTTAGCGAACACATAAATGGTTGGTTACATGAAGGCTTTCTTATCATACTGTCTAATAATTTCCACTTATACTTTGAGACATGTCTCACTCGATGTGAATTTGAATTTGCCATTACCAGTTTTGGCGTCTAAGGAACAACGGAAAGCGTTGAAGCACCTTAATTCATCTCGGAAGAATACCTAAATCTGAAAACGTCCACTATCCTTCTAAGGCCAGTAGTTATTGTTAACTGTTCCACTGATGAGTAGACGAAATGTAAGCGAATTCAAAATAGTTGGCTTGTAAGTACTTTATTAGTTTGTTATTGCTCCCTTGGGTTCCTGGTGGAATAAAGGGCTTCAACTGCACATCTCCACTTGCTTCTGTCTTCTGTTGTACTTCTCACCTGCATCCATGTTCGTCCTTACTCTTTCAACTCCTCTTCACACGATCTCCTCCATTTCACCTTTGCACTGACGTCCCACTCGCCGCTTCCCTTTCAGGTTCCACTCGGGGGCTTGACGCGTGATATCACCCAGCGGTCTCCTCAGCGAGTGTCCAATCCATCTCCAATTTCTCCTGCATATTTGTTGGTTAGCGATTGATTCTTGTTTTGCTTGTTCCCAGCCATAGTTTCCTGTTGGTGATTCTTTCCGGCCCGGCCATCTGATTTTCAGTATAGATCCAGCGAAGACAGTTGTTGTTGATGAAGGTCTGCAACAGGTTGTTGGAAATATTCTTTGTGACCCGTTTGCCAAGTTTCTGATTCGTATAGAAGAACTGACTTGACGTTGTTTGTATTGAAAATCCGACTGAATTTTGTTGTTGATGCTGAGTGACGAAGATTTGCAGCTTGATTTCAGGTTGATGAATGTATTTCTCGCCTTTCCGATTCTCTCTCCATTTGGCATTCTCGTCCGTTCCGATCGCCTGTAGTTGAGACAATGCTCCCGAGATAAGTGAGTGAAAGAATTAACCTCTTTCTGCCAGCATGTTGCTTTTCACTTGCATATCTTCCAGTTTGTGGGAAATCAGACATATATCATCAGTGAAGTCAAGATCCTCCAAGTTTTTCGTGTGAGTCCATTTTATGCCTGTTTCCTCATCGGCCGTCGTCTGTCGTATTGTCCAGTCTATCGCGATCAGGAAGATCATTGGCCATAGTAGACAGCCTTCCCTCACCCCCGTCCTCACTTCGAAGGCTTCCGTAAGTTTCCCGTTGTGGATTACTTGGAATGCAGCATTGTCGTATGACTGTTGGATGAGATGTATAATTGTCGATGGGACCCCGTAGTAGCGAAGTATTTGCCAAATGATCTCTCGATCGACGCTGTCGAAGGTCTTTTCAAAGTTGATGAAGTTGAGTGAGGAGAGGTGACTGCCATTCTAAGCTTTGTTCAATGATGATTCGTAGTGTGGCGATTTGATCAATACATGATTCGTTTCTCCTGAATCCAGCTTGTTCCGGTCGAAGTTTTTCATCTAGGGCTTGTTTGATTCTCTTCAGGATGATACGGCTAGCAATAAAAAAATGAACTACATAAATCAATCCTAGTTTCAGTACTACACTCACTGGTAACCATTTCTCTTGGAAAACAATCCGTAGACTTTGATAAAGTATCACCTCCAGTGGAGTTGAACAAAGTAAATAGAACTTTTCGTAATCTAACTATAATGGTATGCAGGGAATCTCTGTTCTCTTTTTTTAATCTGTATTCCTTCGTGTAATATAAATCATAAGATAACGAATTACGTTATTTATTTGGAGAGAAAATCAGACTTACATTGAATTGAACAAATATCTTACATAAGTTGAAATAACATAAAATGTTATCCTCAATGTTTTGTATTTTGATTGAAATCTCAGTATAAAAATGTGGGTAAAATTTATTTTGACAAAGTCTCACAGCGTTGCACAGTAACTACTATTTACTGATGACCACGTTTCGAGCACAATTTATTGCTGATAATCATATCAAGGTGCTCACACGACTTCGTAATTTCATTTATATAGTTCCATTATTTTTCACTTGATTTCCACTTGATTTGATTGGCAGTAGTATTTTCCATATTTCAGGTATGAGTGATGAAACATTCTTATTGCATGTGTTGGGTGTAGACTCAATAAATAAGGATTCCGTGATCAACCTCTCTATCCACCTACCTATATTACTTTTTAGAATTTTAACCCTCTCCCAATGTGCTATTGTGTGGTTGTGTGTTAATGCATGCAGTGCGATTGCTGAGCTTTTTCCATATACATATCTTTTCAGGTTCAACCATTTTTACTTTAGATAAATTATTATGTTCTGATAATCTGACTACCACTGACCTACTAGTTTCACCTATGTAGTTGACCTCAGAGTCGTTGCAGGGTATTGTGCAAATTATATTATTTTGTCTAATTGGGTCAACTGGGTCCTTTAACCTACAGAGCTTGTCCCTGAGTGAGTTCGTAGGTTTAACTGCCACCCTAATTCCTATTTTATTCAGAATCCTACGCAGGGCTTCAAATGTCCCTTCCTTATATGGTATAACAGTGGATGATTTATATTCTTTCTTATTTGTGTTATCATTATTAGTTTCACCATTATTTTTACTTTGCTTTTGGTTTTTACTGATCTTCCTAATGAATTTTATAGGATAGTTATTCAACACCAACGCTTCTTCTATCTGCTTTATTTCGTGATTTACGTCTTTTCTTGTGCTACTTAGTGCCACTGCTCGGTTTGTTAAACATTTAACTAAGCCTGCCTTAACAGTTAAAGGATGAGACGAATTAAAGTCTAAATACCTATTAGAATGCGTTGGTATTCTATAAACACTAGTGTGCAGTTTGCCTTCTTCTATTCTTTTTATCTTACAATCTAACATCTCAGCTAATTCTCCTTGTTCATTATCTGATTAAAATGTGAATTTTATTCCCTCAACTTGTGAGTTTATATGTAGCTAGAGATGTGTTCTGTTTTTAACACTGTGAAAGTGTCATCCACGTATCTCCACCATATTTCCGGAGTAGGGTTAAATGTATTGAGGGCACTATTTTCCCAGCTGTCCATAAATATGTCTGCTACGATAGGGGATATTGGTGATCCCATTGCTACACCTTCCGTTTGTCTATATATTTTGCCTTGGAACTTAAAGATATTAGATGTGAGACATAACTGAATCCCTAAAATAATTTCTTCAATGGACAGCTTTGTCCTATGACTGAGTTCCGGATCCGCAGTTAATTCCCTTTTAACTGCTTCTAAAGCCATAATGACTGGTATATTAGCATAAAGACTAGTTATATCAAAACTAACCATTTTCTCATCATTCTCCAGTTGAATGTCATTTAGTTTACTTTTCATCTCATATGAATTAGTTAGTCTAGAGTTTGAACGGTTTCTAATGGGACAAAGTATTAGAGCTGTGTTTTGATAATTCATAAGTGGGGGTATTTCTAAAATCTACTATTGGTCGTATGGGGTAGCCTGGCTTATGTATTTTAATAGTGCCATATATTCTACTAGCATTATTAGTTTTAGGCATTAAATTAACCCATTTAGACTCACCCAGTGACGGTTTCATTCTGCGTATTAATTCCGCTGTAGATTTCTTAACCTTATTCATTACTGTATCTACAGGCTTCTTAATTTCTTCATATGGACCCATTTGAATATGTTCAGTAACTTTTTTGATATAGTCAGATTTATTCAAATCTACGGTTTCGTTTCCTTTGTCAGCTTTTGCGATGACAATATTTCCAGAGTTACTGGAAACAGCAGATGGAATGGGAGTGGACTCACCAAATTGTCAACAGGTGAGTCAGTGATCTACTCCGGTCACCCAGAAGATAACCACACGCACACCGAGGGCGTGGCTATCATGATGTCACCAACGGCAACGAAAGCCCTGATACAATGGGAGGCGATTTCGTCCAGGATAATGACCGCCAGGTTCAACTCCAAAGGAAGGAAAGTGTCAATCATACAATGTTATGCACCCACAAACAACGCAGACCTCGAGAAGAAAGAAGAATTCTACAGGCAACTACAGGCAACAATGGACAATACTCCAGCTGGCGACATGAAAATACTAATGGGAGACATGAACGCCAAACTGGGACCAGACAATACGGGAAGGGAACTCATCATGGGTAGAGAAGCTCTAGGAGAAATGAATGAAAACGGAGAACTCTTCGCCGACTTCTGCGCCTTCAACGAACTGGTGATTGGTGGCAGTGTATACAAGCACAAAGATATCCACAAGGCTACATGGGTGTCACCAGACGGGCAAACCAAAAACCAAATCGACTTCATCTCAATCTCAAGGAAGTGGAGGCGCAGCCTACTGGACACAAAAGCAAGAAGAGGAGCAGACGTTGGCTCAGACCACTATCTCGTACAAGGGACAATCCAAATCAAATTAAAAGCTTTCAGGGAATCAGGAGCTGCAGATAGACCACAAGCCAAGTTCAACACTCAAAAGCTGAAGGACCAGGCTACAAAGGACATCTTCATTGCAAGCATAAAGGACAAAGCCGAGACACAAATCAACACTAGCGAAGAGGTCGGCGTTGAAAAGCACTGGAACAACTTGAAAACGGTGTGGAGCCAAACCTGCATAGAAATTCTAGGCAGAAAAAAGAGACAGGACAAACAGTGGCTCACTACGGACACTTGGAAACTAATAGAAGAGAGAAGGACAGTGAAGCAAAAGATTATCCAGTGCACGACGAGCAACAAAAACAGGAGCTGAATGCAAGCTACAATACACTGAACAAAAGAGTGAAGAAAAGTGCCAGGGAAGACAAAAGAAAATATTATGAAACCATGGCAAACGAAGCAGAACAAGCTGCAGGCAAAGGAGACCTCGCCACACTCTACCAAACAACTAGGAACCTTTCGGGCAAACGTTCGACACAGATTAAGCCAATAAAGGACGACAATGGAAAGTCAATCACCAAAGAGGTGGAACAGAGAAAGCACTGGGTTGAACACTTCAAAAGACTTCTAAATCGTCCGCCACCTACAACACGTCCAGCAATACCAACAACGGAAGCAGAACTACCAGTGAACACTGACCCCCCGACGAAATCAGAAGTCCTGAATGCAATCAAGATGCTTAAAACTGGGAAAACACCGGGACCAGATGGAATCCCAGCAGAGGCTTTGAAAATAGACCCAGAGACAACAGCGGACTTGATGACACCACTACTGGAGAAGGTGTGGAAAGAGGGCAAAGTACCCGAGGATTGGAAGAACAGTTACTTATTCAAACTTCCAAAGAAAGGAGACTTAAGTCAATGTAAAAACTGGCGTGGAATTATGCTTCTGTCCATTCCAAGCAAGATACTAAGTCGCATCATCCTGGAGAGAATCAAACAAGCCCTAGATGAAAAACTTCGTCCGGAACAGGCTGGATTCAGGAGAAACAAATCATGTATTGATCAAATCGCCACTCTACGGATCATCATTGAACAAAGCTTGGAATGGCAGTCACCTCTCTATCTCAACTTCATCGACTTTGAAAAGGCCTTCGACAGCGTCGATCGAGAGGTCATTTGGAAACTACTTCGCTACTACGGGGTCCCATCGACAATTATACACCTCATCCAACAGTTATACGACAATGCTGCATGCCAAGTAATCCACAACGGGAAACTTACGGAAGCCTTCGAAGTGAGGACGGGAGTGAGGCAAGGCTGTCTACTATCACCAATGATCTTCCTGATTGCAATTGATTGGATAATGCGACAGACAACGGCAACCAACGAGGGAACAGGCATAAAATGGACTGACACAAAAGACTTGGAGGATCTGGATTTCGCCGATGATATATGTCTGATTTCCCATAAACTGGAAGATATGCAAATGAAAAGTAACAAGTTGGCAGAAGAAGCATCAAAGATAGGACTTCACGTGAACATAGATAAAACAGAGATGATGAAGATTCCTTGCCAACATCAACAGCAACAACAGACCACAATAAGCATAAATGGGAAGAACCTGAAAGAAACAACCTCCTTCACCTACCTGGGAAGCATCGTCTCAACTACAGGCGGAACTGACGAGGACATCAAAGCCAGAATCGGAAAAGCAAGACAAGCTTTCATTACTCTCAAATCTGTGTGGAGGTCAACAGCATCAGCATCAAAAATAAGATCCGGATTTTCAACTCCAATGTGAAGTCAGTGCTACTATACGGATCAGAGACTTGGCGAGTCATAAAGAGCATCTCAAACAAACTTCAAACCTTCATTAACAACTGTCTCCGCTCAATACTCAAGATCAGATGGCCAGAAAAGATCAGCAACAGGGATCTCTGGGAGCGAACCAATCAGGAACCGATTGTGAAACAAATAGGCAGAAAGAAATGGAGATGGATTGGCCATACGCTGAGGAAACCATCAAGTGACATCACTAGACAAGCCCTCGAGTGGAACCCGAAAGGGAGGCGGCGAGTTGGTCGTCCAAGGGTGACTTGGAGGAGGTCATGTGAAGAGGAGATGAAAGCATGTGGGCAGACCTGGAGCAGGGTGAAAAAGTTGTCAGAAAACCGAAGTCAATGGAGGTGCGCAGCTGAAGCCCTATGTTCCTCTAGGAACTAAAGGATACAAATAATAATACAGTAACTACTATTTACTGATAACCACGTTTCGAGCACAATCTATGGGTGTTCGTGACCACATCAAGGCACTCACACAGCTTTACAACTTGCATTATATGATTCAGTAAACAACCCCTGTCGCTCTGCACCCACCTATATTACTTCTTAGAATTTGCACCCTCTCTCAAACTACTGTGTGGTTGTGTGTTAGTGCATGCAGTGCTACTGCTGAGTTATTTTTATAGATTACTTATCTTTGTGGGGTCAGTCATACTAACTCTAGTGTCCTAATAGTCTGACTACCCCACCTCTCCGATTTACTAGTCTGACCTGTGTAGTTGACTTCAACCATGGTCATTGCAAGGTATTTTGTGGATTATGTTATTTCGCCCAGTTAGATCAACCTACATGGTCCCTACATGGATTTACAGGGCTTGTCCCACCTGAGTGAGTTTGTCGGTTTAAACGCCAACTCTAATCCCTGCTTTATTAAGAATCCAGTATAAGGTTTCAGATGTCCCTACCATGGGTGGTATAACTATAGATGCCTTAGATTTCTTTCTGATTTGTGTTATGATTATTAGATTCGCCAAATTACAAAATACCTTCCAATGACTATGATTAAGAGCAGCTACACGGGTCAAACTGGTTGGTCAAGAGCAGGCAGATTATTAGAGCATAAGAATTTAGTGAAAGTCAACCAACCAATAATCTACTGTTTTAACAAATGTGTCGAAGAGATAGGAGATAGATTGAAGATAAAATGAAGATACCACCGAGTGATACCATGCGCCAAGCGATTGTACGGGTGGAACCTCAATGGTCAACGAGCAGCTGAGTGTCTGAAACTGACCTAGGGGTAACCATATGCTGAGGAAATGAAAACTTATAGGCAACTAAGAGGTCAACTGGAAAGGATAGCACAGGACAGAATGAAAGTCAGATGATCAGCTAAAGCCCTATGTTTGATCTGGAACCAGTCACTTGCACCTAGTATTCAGGAACACTTAACTATGAAGTGTGATCTAGGCAGTTGTTCATGGTCATAGTTATATTCATTCAGAATTCAGGAAAGTAGCAAGCGTTGGTTTGCAGGGATTTGATTGTTCACAGGAGTGATCAAGACCTGATATCAGTTACAGAACCATTGGAAAACCTGAAGGCACTGTACAGATGTCTTATCCCAGTTTGGGACACACCCACTAGGTAAAGATTTCATTTATTTCATCAGTGTGCAAGACGTAGTGAGTAAATTACTGGTGATATAAAGTAATATAGGAGAAATATTGATGAAACTAAAGTGGTAACTTACTCCAACCAGCTATAAGTTCTGTAAAATAAAATGAAATCAATCCAGAAAGAAGAATACTTTATCATCTGATGACATACATATTGAATACAGTTCACAGACAGATGAATTTTGAAATCCAGACGATGTGATTTATGGGGATTTTGTGCAAAGTTAGAATTCATAAGTCACTGAATTTCAGACTGAGTAGCTTAGTCATGTTACCTGAATGTTCCAGTTTCCATTCTTTGCACAGTTATGAGTGTGCACCGCTGAAAAGTCTCAAAAAATAAGAATAAACTTCCTGTCAAGTACTATTTCCTCACTTTCAGTGATCTCTCTAGCTGGTTTTGGTTCATGTTGAAAGTCTAACAACTAACATTTGAAAAACTACTTACAGACAAGCGGATACACACTGTATCTTTCATAAGCTGTAAGTTATTTCCCCAGTTGACTACCTTCTACAAGAAATGTGGTATTCAGAAATGTTGAACTCACAACCTTTTTGTAAAAGATATCTTCATGTTAGTCAGCAACTAAACTAACATATAGACTGTTCGATCATTTGACTGAACCTACTCCGACTTCTACGAACTAGAGTTGCCTGAAGTCGTAGGGATGTTTAAAATGTAACGCAATTCCCGGACTTTGTCTTGCTATCCTTTATAACTAAGTCTCTCTGATACCTTCTAGCCCATTTTGATATCTACTGTTTTCGAAAAAAGTGAGTGTATTCCTGACATGTCTTCATTATACTTCTGAATTATAACTGGATTTTTCTAAACCCATACTTTTCACGATAGTCTCAACAATAAAAAATACTTATGATCCTATTTATTATTGAGAATTGTAATTCTTACAGCTGAGATGGTTCTTAAAATCCTGACAACATTCACAGTCACTACGACTGCTACTTTTGTGATTGATTTGCATTCCAGAGTGAATCAACATTGAACACGTGATCAACGTTCAATGGTTCACTAGATTTTTGATTCCACCCACCATCAAACTTACAATATAACAACATTCCTCTTGTTCCAGTAGCAGACATCAATTGTACCCTACATAGATTTTATTCCATATTAGTTAATATTTATTTTAATAACCACACAGTGATGCAGTATTACCAACTGGATGATGTTTCGAGCGTAAATTATTGCCATTTATAATCATATCATTTCAGCAACAAGCCTACACAATTTGTCTTATGTAAATATACATATATATATCTTTCTGTCTCTCCAAATTCCCTTTGTTGTTTATTGACACTTTCCATTTCTCCGGTATAGGTGTTGCTTCATTCCAAGTGGGTGCTTAATAATGATAATAATATTAATAATTTACTTTATTCCAAAACAGTACTTGTGATACAGAATGGAATTCTCAGCATTTCACTACATACAGTATTGCATCCAGTTAGTACACTAACAATAAAATAAAATTCTACATAGATTAAGGGTAATCTCATTTAGTTTTGACAACAACATATTAGCATGTCGGTAGCAAAGCCAGAAATTGAACAGAGTGTTTGAAGGTGCTAGAAAAGTAGATGCTAGCATATTTAGTGGCGTAAGCAGAAGAAAGAAACAAAGCTGCACATAACAGAAAAAAGGAGAGAGAGAAAAGGAAAAGAAAGAAAGAAAACGTTGAACCTATAAATGATATGAGTTGAAAAGACGAGATCCAGTTGTTCTACTGACCATTTATTAAGTTAAAGGTTTCACGCCTAATGCTTTCTTTATCGCACAGAACATGAGCTAGGTAGGGTATGGATGAGTTTTTGTACTTACTAGTGCGGGCATATAGTTTCCTATATAGGCTTCTGGTCTGCCTGCATGATGAGATACAAGAGGAGAGTAGTGAATGTAGAGGGTGTTGTGAGTCAGATAAAATGGATTTAGCCTATTTTTCACATGACTCCGCGTGCCTGTCAACTAGAATATTAACAAGCTGGTTAAGTGGCACGTTGCTTACCCTGCTGATAACCTTTAACACCCTACGTAATAAGGTATAGTCTTTCTTCAGTAGCCCTGGAAAAACTAAGGCGAAACAATAGAGAATAATAGGCAGGATGCAAGAGCCAACGAATTGTAGGAGTAGGGGTTGGAATATACCAGAATGTCTTAACTTCTTGATGAAGAAGGTAAGACGGAATATTTTCTTAGAAATCGTCAAGATATGAGACGACCAGGAAAGATCAGAAGATGTTGCACATCTATGTGCATCTATGTTGCACACCTCGTGAGTGCTAACCAGTTTGTTTAGGTCAGATTTATGCCTAAAGGTGAAATTAACTGTTTGGCATTCGGAGGGGTTTAAGGTGAGACCGTTTTCCTTGGACCATTGGCTGGTTTCTGATAAAAAGCCATTTAGTTTAGACCACTCATTTTGACATTTGACAGGCAAAGATACAGTTAGGTCATCAGCATATTTGACAAAATTAATGTCATTTGAAGATGGTAAGTCATGTAGAAGGAAAGAAAAGAGAAGTAAGGAGAGTACAGCACCTTGGGGGACTCCAGCTTCAGTGAGCACAGTAGAGGAGGATTCATCTTTGTATACGGTATACTGCATTCTGTTTGAGAAGTAGGAATGCAACCAGTTAGTGACCCAGGACTCAGTTTGTGTCATGGAGAGCCTATTTAGCAAGAGACATCTAGGTACAGAGTTGAAAGCGGAAGTGAAGTTGAGAAACGTTCAGCGAACGTATTTGGCGCCTTTATCTAGTGATGAGACGATACTGTTCTACGAGCTCGCTAGCCTTGTACCCAGGAGGTTCTGGGTTAGAACCCCTATGCTGGGTGCATACTGATGAGAAGTCCCTAACTAGGCTAGTGAAATAGCTGTCCAGTACTCTTAGGTTAGTTTTCCAATGATTCTCTAATTGATGTCAGCTCAAGGTGAAATCGTCCAACCAATTATTCCGATTGAACACGTGTGGTGTTGAATCAATAAGAAAAAACGATTCAGTGAATAACCTGTCTGTATCTAAACCTCACTATATTATTTTTCAGTATTCCCACCCTGTCCCACTCACCCCACTAGTGTGATATGTACCCACATAATATGTGTGTTTATTTTTGACAGTCTGTTATATTTTGTATTGTATATATGGATCGATATTCCATTATAATTAACAATCATGTTAAGACTGTCTATTGATTCGTTCATTTTTGAACATTCGCTCATACACTTGTGTGACATTGATTTTCCCTTGTGTTTGGAAAATACAAGTATCATCGTGAACCTGGTGGTTTTCTGATTTCCGCCTTCTTGCGTCAGGACTATTAATCACTCGACCAGTACATAACAATAATTTGGCGACGGGGAAAACTACTATTAACCACTCAGCAGCAGCAACATAACATAGTGATTACAAGCAGGTGAGTGCAGTGCAACGGCTGAGTTCTGTTTTTTCTAGGTTATTTAACTTAGCAGGGAGGATCAGTTATTCTACGTCAAGCTAAATGGCTATATTCCAATGATCCAGTTGACCCCTATCTGCTAGTCTGACTTATGTAATCGACCTCACAGTCAGCATTACATGGTATTTGGTAAATTATAATAAATACTTTTCGTAATTGGATCTGTTGGGTCCTTAAGTCGATAACTTGGCAACAAACAACAAAGGGAAGTTGGAGTGACAGAGAGAGAGAGAGGAAATACAAATATAGGAAAAACTGTGAAACCGTGTGACTGAAATTGATATGAGTGTGAGCAGTAATGCATGCTTGAAAACCCTTGCCATCCAGTTGTTCATACTGCACCATCTCTAAGTGATACTTAAAATAATAAAGGTTTCTAATATTGAATTACATACATTCTACCACAATGCACAAATTCTACACTTACGCATTATGTTAGTTACTTGTGATTAACACATTACTTACCCTTCTTCTGAAAATAAAATTTGATTAGTAATATTTTGATTGTAACAGTTGAAGAAATTATCTACACCTTATCTGAAAATCTTCATTTGCACAGACTTTCTGTGTGGTGCTACTTCTGCCCTACATTTTGTAGTGTGCTTCTTTATCTTCTTTTCGTGTATCACACTTTTTTGTTTCAAATAATGGTTCATTTACACTCTCTGATATCAAACCTATTTCTCTGCTGTTTGATATTTTGCACTGATGAACGTCTATTTATAAACTACTGATAAATCTTTTCAGTAATACATGCACAATTCTGTTTGGGATTTTAAAGTCTGCAGCCACCTGTTGTAAATCTTTTCTGTGACACACAGTGCAAGTTTCTGACCCGTATACAAGAACTGACTGTCTGAATTCCTATTCGTATTTAAAATCCGAATATTGTCACACATGTTGAGTCATTTCAGAAGATTTTCAAACTGTTTCCAGGTTTCAGAAGGAGTGTCTTGACTTTCCGATTCTGATTTTGACATCTTCATCCGTTCCGAGCCTGTAGTTGAAACATTGACTCCTAGATAAGTGAAGGAAATCACCTCTGTTAAGTCTCTCCCACTGACGGTGATTGGTACTGGTTGTTTCTGCTGTTGTTGTTAGTTGTTTATCTTCACCACCTTCTTCCGCGACTCGTTTTTTTGGCTTTCGCTTACCTGCTACTCTTAGAGTTTGTGTGACATTATACATATTTCATCTGCGAAATCCAGATCTTGTAGAGTCTTCTCATCGATGGTCCAACATACTCCTGTCTCCTCGCTCCCAACAGTGTGACATATAATTTAGTCCACCAAAATTAACAGTATCATCGTGGGTGATAATATGCAGCCAGTCTTTTCTCACTCCTGTCTCCACTTTGAACGCTTTGCTGAGTATTCCGTAGTGGATCACCTGACACATGATATTGTTATATAGCTAGCTGTTGAATAACGTTGATAAAGACTTAGGCACAGTATAACGTAGTATTGAAGTAGTTTTCTAATTACTTCCCGGTCAACGCTATCTGGTGAAGGCCGTTTCAAAGTCAATGAAGGAGATTGAGGTAAAGGTATGACTGCCATTCTACGTTTTGCTCTGTGACAAGGATGCGTAGAGTTGCATTTAGATCAGTACATGATTCGCCTTTATTGAAATAAGTACAGGACTACAATTTATATAACTATTGAAATTTCAGATGGAAGGAAAATGGATTACCATGAGTTAATCCTCAGATCATTAATTCTTTCAAATATTTAGGTGAAACACATTCCCATGTAAGATCCATGAAAATCCTGGATTCTTTTTATTTTTCATTCCTCTCATTCTAAGTGGAGTATATGCCTCTAGGCTTTGGAACTTCTGTAGTGAAGACGTTGTTACTTTTGTTTTTTGCGAGATAGAATAGTCAGCCTTACAGCCTTACAACTCACCTTATTTCCCCTGGATTTCACAGTTCTTCAGTCGGAAATCAAACGTTGCACTACAAAGTGATTGGTCAGTCTTCTATCATTCTAAAATGACATCTACAATAATATAGAAGATTTGAAGCCCAGGTGCATGACTATGAATTAGTTGTGTTCTCTGAACTAGCTCGTTGATTTGATTGCAAACCTTTCGTCGTACACCTTCTAGACAACATCTACAGCACAGGTTTCAGTATGAAATGGACTTTTGTAAATTCCCCATGAATAGTGTAATTGTATCCCCTGGGAACCAGTGTCGTGACCGCTTGCTAATTTAAATCTCTATTGATCATTCTTATTGACTTGGAATTCAAACAGTCTTTCCATGTGATTCATTCATCTTTATAAGTTAGTAAATTTGGTCTATAGTAATGCACTTAATAATTGCTAATTCTTTTGAGTATCAGGCTTTTATAAATTTCCCGACTGTAATTTGGTATTGACTCTATGGAAAATTTATTTATTAACTAATTAAAAATGCCCATTTAGATTTTCAAAAGAATGGCTACTGAACAAAGAATACTGTTTTTGATAAATTCTTCATCAGGTTCTACAGTTATATATATATACTTGATTCTTCATGCCGGAGAACACCTCCCAGTATATCTCAGTAAAGTTGTAGTAAAAACCATCAACAGTTCGATATTGGACCATCTGCTCCAAATCGGCCATAGAGCCAGCTAGCATTGAAGAATCCTTCTCTATTATCATCTACCGGGTGCCTAATAAATTGTCAAAATCATCTAGGTACCGCATGCTTCAAATAGCAGAGGTTATTTCGCGATTCGCGTGTAACAACCAGTGCTTTGTTTTCAAAAGAAGTAAGTCCAGTCCTCCGTCACTCTATAGTGGGGACTATAAATTCATGAATTTGGATTATTATCTTTCCTAAGTTTTATGACATTCAGTTTGTATTGTTATTCTGATGCTATTGAACTGTAATCCACTGATATTATTATTATTGATTCGATGTCATTTAAACTACAGTGATGTTGTTAATAACACTAATTTATCCATTCACTATTATCTATGCATAACTGTAGAACCTGATGAAGAGTAGGTTATCGAAAAGAATGTTCTTTGTTCAGTAACTATTATTCTGAAAATTTCCTGCATCAAATCAGTGTGCGTAATAATCTACATGCATTTGGATATGACGTGACATGAATTCCACTGCAATGAAACTGACCAACAGAGATGTAAATTAACTAGTCATGACAATTACTGGCAGAAGATGCAATTACATCATTCGTAGGGAATTTAGATAAAATAAATAAGTCCATCTATTTAAAAATTTAAAACAAATAGTTCCATTTTTGAATTAAGATAAAGGAAAAAGAAGACATAATTTCTCTGAATAGTATACTGTTGTATTTGCACAACATATTTCGAACAGTTTGATCATACACGGACTTGTCATAGGAATGTGTATATATGAAATTAATAAAGAATTAAGAGGTGGGAAAATAGACTTAGGTCAAGTTGAAAGGACATACTGCAGGTCAAAATAACAATGAAAACCAGTCACTAAACTAAAAACCAGAGGTAATAGTACATCTGTATGGTATCAAAAAAACAAAATTTATCAAGGAAGGTTTAGTGTGATGACGCGTTGAACATACGAATAAAGATGTTGTCACATACCATTGTATTTACCAATTTGAATGTACTTGTGAACATACATACATAGAGAGGACTCATCCTTCTCTGCAAGTAAGGTCTGGCTTCACAGCACATTCCTAAATGACTCCAGAAACAAATAGAATCGTCAGAACTTATTAGTAGTGAGACCTAGTAGAGACCTAGCTCTTCTGTTGCGAAACATATTACAGAGGAGACAAGATTTAAAACTGACGTGAACACATCTTTTGAACCTATCTAAAAAAAGTGTTTTGAGCAGGGAGTATCTTAACGTTTTTGGAGGACCTAGCTGGCAATTAGACAGCTTAAACCACTCTTATGCGTTCAAAAACAGTTCGATATCACATTAAAACCTTCCTTGGTAAATTTTGTTTTGATACCATAGCAGATGTACTATCATCTCTCTTATTTGGTTTAGTGGTCATTGTTATTTTGACCTTGAATATGTCCTTTTAACGTGACCCAAGTCTATTTTCTCACCTCTTAACTCTTCCTTCATTAATTATATATATATATATATATATATATATATATATATATATATATATATATATACATTCCAATGACAAGTCCGTGTATGATCAGACCGTTCGAAACAGTATATGATTCAGAAAAATTATGTCTTCTTATTGCTTTATTTAAATAAGTCCATTTTATACTAAAACCTACACTGAAGCCATGTTGTCCAGAAGGTCGACAACGAAGTGTTTGCTATTATATCAATCAGCCAGTTCAGAGAATACAAAACATTCAAAATGGCAGTCACTAATTCATCAAAGTGTATTCAGTAATTCTGACGCATGACTATCAGACCACTTAATAACCAAATCTCCCATTCGTCTACTCGAAATAATAATAATAATAATAATTTTTGCTTTTATTCCAGAAACAGTACTAAAGGTAGAGTGTAGAATTTTCAGCACATATCTACAATATTGCTTCTAATTTCACCGCACATTTAAAAGGAGCATTACAAAAAATTATAAATATAAAAACCTAAAACAAACACAAAAAAATAACAAAAAATGCAAAAATAATACCAAGTAGAAAGGAAGATAAACGTCAATAATGAAAAATATTTCAGTATTTGGTAGTGGAAGCTATGATATGTGTATGCGTAGTGAACAGTAACAGCTATAATCATACAAGAAGTTATGAAATCATATTAAGAATGTTTATAGCCAAGATGATCAGTTAATTTGATTGAACTACACTAAACAATCATAAAATAAACATTTCAGGTTGTTATTTTTTTATTGTCAGCACTAATGCAGTGTTTGTAGTAGTAGTGTGAGTAATCCTGCAAAATACAAAAATTTTAGGATGGTGATGACGGCGTTCACAACCAAGAGTGTCAGTTAATATTGGAGAACAAAAACAACAATCACGAAACTAATATTACATGATGGTTAATGACAGGACAATTTTGTAATACTCATAGTGCCAATATAGTCGGACCACTAGATACACAAAAGAAGGGATAGAATAAAGAATAAAAAGTAAGCCAATGATAATAATTTTAGGTAGCTAAGTATGTTTAAAAAGGTGTTCACTGTAGAATAAGAGAGAATAAGGGGGAAATAACAAGGGCCAAAATTATGTTATTAACAACAAAGCAAGTCATAGGTTTCGCGCTAACATTGTCTCTGTCACTTAGAACACGGGCCAAATATGGTATCGTTGAGTTCCTATACTTGGTTGTACGAGCATATATTATTTTGTACTGATTTCTGGTTCTACCTGATGAGATGCAAGGAGGGAGTTGGGAATAGAGGGGGTGTTGGGGGTCAGAGAGTATGGTTTTAGACCATTTCTCGCATGTATTCAGATGCTTATCCACTAATGTCGTGACGAGCTGACTGAGTTTTACACCGCTAGTCCTACTAACTACCTTCAACATCCTTCTCAGGATGGTATAGTCCTTTTTCAGTAACCCAGGAAAGACTAATGGGGAGCAGTAAAGTAGAATAGGTAGGATACGAGAGTTGACAAATTGTGAAAGCAGAGTTTGAGTTATTCCAGTTAGTCTGAGTTTCTTAATGTAGTAGGTTAGACGAAACACTTTCTTAGAAATCATTTGGATATGAGATGACCAAGTAAGGTCGGAAGATAGAACTAATCCGAGGTATTTTGCATTAGACTTTGTTTCAATTTTAGTCCCCTCAATTCTACAAGCCTCATGAGTGCTTACTAGTGTTTGTAGATCTCGTTTATGCCTAAAGGAGAAGTCAATAGTCTGGCATTTTGAGGGATTCAGCATGAGGCCATTTAGTTTAGACCACTGACTGATGTCCGACAGGAAGCTATTTAATTTGAAGCAGTCTGACTGAGACTTAACGGGAAGCGAAACAGTCAGGTCATCTGCATATTTGACGAAGTTGATTTCGTCTGGAAGAGGTAAGTCATGTAAGAAGAAGGAAAAGAGAAACGGAGAGAGAACAGCACCCTGAGGAACACCAGCTTCAGTAAGCAAAGGAGAGGAAGCTACACCATTATATACCGTGTACTGCATCCTATTGGAGAAGTAAGAGTGCAGCCAGTTGATAGCCCAGGACTCAGTTTGTGTAAGGCTAAGCTTGTTTAACAAAAGGCCTCTAGGTACAGAGTCGAAAGCAGATGTGTAATCAAGGAAAGTACAACGGACATACTTGGCCCCTTTGTCTAAGGAGGATACAATGTTGTGATGAAACACAGCAGCAGAGTCCAAAGTACTTCTACCCTGTTTGTAAGCAAACTGCTTTGGATCATTTGAGAAGCTTAGGGAGGGAACAAGTTTTTGTAACAATAATTTCTCCATTAGTTTCAAAAAAGGAGAGGTAATAGCAATAGGTCTAAACTTAATACCATTTACAGAACCAGACTTGGGTACAGGGATGATTTTAATATCTTTCCACAGAGAAGGTACAACATTATTAGAAAAAGAAGTATTGGAAATGTCTGTAAGTGGGTTACTTAAAATATCAGCACATTTCCTTAGAACAATGGCAGGTATACCATCAGGGCCTAGACTCTGGGAAGGTTTAAGAGATTATAAACATTTAAGAACATCAGAAGTATTGAAACTATGAAAGTCACTGGTCGTGTTATTAGTTAAATTGAAGGCAAAAGGGACATTTGGAGGGCGAATAAAAGATCTATTGAGAGTATTTACATCAATAGAAGAGGCACAATTACTATGCTTACCACAACCTGTAATTTCTCTAAAAAGCTTCCATATGTTTTCTGAAGTTTTGCAAGACAGTATTGTTTGTTTATCTAGTACAAAGTACTTCAATGGATTCATTCTACTTCTACTGGCTGAATATCAACGCTTAGATAACTTACAAACGTACTGAATTTAGTTACTTTGAGGCTAACTTTCTTGACCATAGAAAACTGAAACAGAGATTTCGAAAAGCAGTCTTTATAGGTTTTAACTCAGTGTTAATATTTAACGGGCAGTTGTCAAGCGAAACAAACTGTACGTAGACATCATCAACTTCTTATGATTCAACGTACATTGCAAGCCATGAACAGATAATACTTGTGTGAATTGTAAACTAAAGACAAAAACACCGCTCTGAGTTATTTTTCCGCAGGATGATACCAAAATGTGTTACTTAATTCATCAGAAATGAATTAAACAGACAGTCAACAGATCAGATCCAATAAAATAGCATAATTTGGTCTTTCTCATGGTGACTTTTTAAACTAGTAGATAATAATACTGAATACGAAGACGCTTGGACACTAACTGAAAGTCATATAAAAAAGGATTCAGCTTACCTGTTGCCATACCTGTTGTGGGAACATAAACGTCGAATTCAGTTGAAAGTGTTGTACAATTCTTGCATGTTTGAGGGGAGGAAAATACTAGATGAAATGAGGAAATCAAATAAAAGGAAAATAAAAGAAGATGAACCATCCACTCGAGCTACTAATCTTCTCCATCATATACAAATTTTAACTACACTAGCTGAAAAAAAATATATATATGCTCGCATATTTCTCTCATACGAATAATGCATTGTTATCAAAAAAATGAATAAACATTAAAATAAGAGGCAATTTGGTTTACTATAACAATAAATTTATTGTTACTGTTATAGTAAACCAAATAAATTTACTGTTATAGTAAACCAACAGCCTCTCATTTACAAGTTTATTCATGTATTGATCAAATCGCCATTCTACGGATCCTCATTGAACAAAGCTTAGAATGGCAGTCACCTCTCCTCCTCACTCAACTTCATCGACTTTGAAAAGGCCTTCGACAGCGTCGATCGAGAGGTGATTAGGCAACTACTTCGCTACTACAGGGTCCCATCGACAATTATACATCTCATCCAACAGTCATACGACAATGCTGCATTCCAAGTAATCCACAACGGGAAACTTACGGAAGCCTTCGAAGTGAGGACGGGGGTGAGGGAAGGCTGTCTACTATCGCCAATGATCTTCCTGATTCCAGTGGATTGGATAATGAGACAGACAACGGGCAGTGAGGAAACAGGCATAAAATGGATACACACAAAAAACTTGGAGGATCTGGACTTCGACGATGATATATGTCTGATTTCCCACAAAATGGAAGATATGCAAGTGAAAATCAACATGTTGGCAGAATAAGCATCAAAGAAACCTGGGAAGCATCGTTTCAATTACAGGTGGATGGAACTGACGAGGATATCAAAGCCAGAATCGGAAAAGCAAGACAAGCTTTCATTACTCTCAAGTCTGTGTGGAGAGCGACACCACTCAGCATTAAAACTAGTTCCGGATTTTCAACTTTAATGTGAAGTCAGTGCTACTCACTGTACGGATCAGAGACTTGGCGCGTCATAAAGAGTATCTCAAACAAACTACAGACTTTCATTAACAGTTGTCTTCGCTCAATAATCAAGATCAAATGGCCGGCCAGGAAAGATCAGCAACAGGGATCACTGGGAGAGAACCAATCCAGGAAGAACCGATTGTGAAACAAATAGACAGGAAGAAATGGAGATGGGTCGGCCATACTCTGAGAAAACCAGCAAGTGACATCAATAGACAAGCGATTGTTCGAGTGGGACCCGAAAGCGAAGCGGCGAGTTGGTCGTCAGTGCGAGGGTGACTTGGAGGAGGTCATGTTAACAGAAGATGAAAGCATGTGGTCAGACTTGGAGTGGAGTGAAAAAGTTAGCAGAAAACCGAACACAATGGAGACGCGTGCCCGAAGCCCTATGTTCCTCTAGGAATTAAAGGATATAATATTAACAGTAAATACTGTACAATGGTTACGTAGACATACCTTCAGTCAACATAATTCGTATTATAGCCATACAAAGTATACACCATGAATTCCAGAACAGATTACGCATCCTCAGCCTCAGTACTCTCCTAATAAGCACATCTATTTGCTTTACGTGACGCTAATCTATTTAAGCAACACGTTTAAAGATTCATTCGTTCAAACACACGTGTTGTTGTGATCAATAACACTGCAAAATTTACTGGGTAAATATAAAGTTGAAACTTAGTGTGATTTCTGTCTCACATGTTCACTTACAGTCATTTCAACATACATAGAGAATAAGATTGAACACATGTACCTATTAAGAAAACAACTTGCTTAGTGTTGTGTATTGCAAAAGAAATTATGCTAAGAATATTAAATGTACCACTTGAAAACAAACTTACCTTAGAACTGGATTTAACACATATGCATTCAGACAAAGCAATAAGAAGACGTAATTTGTCTGAATCGTGTACTAGTGTATTTGCGCAACACATTTCGAACAATTCGAACACACACCGACTTGACATAGGAATGTATATATACAAAGACAATAAAGAGTCAAGAGGTGTGAGAATAGACTACTTAGGTCAAGTTGAAAGGACATATACATGGTCAAAATAACAATGAAGACCACTAAACCAAAAAGCAGAGGTAATAGTACATCTGCCATGGTATCATCAGAACAAAGTTTACCAAGGAAGGCAGGTTTAGTGTGATGACGAATTTTTGTTTTGAACGCATAAATTTCCTAATTCCCAGTTAGATCTTCCACAAACCTTAGGATAGCCACCCCTCAAAACACGTTTTAGAGAAAGGCTTTAAAAATGTGTTTCCGTCTCTTTTATGTCCTCTCTCCTGTATGATATGTTCCACAAACGAGAAGCTAGGTCTCTTGTTCTCATCATTAATGGGTTCCTTTCGGGGTGCATCCGAAAGTTTCTGGAAGGCCTGGTAATTAGAAAGTTTAAAACACAATTTCGCATTCAAAGCAACAATTTATCATCTCACTAAACCACCTGCCTTGGTAAACCTTGTTTTGACACCATAGCAGATGTACTACTACCTCTGTTGACTGGTTATTTTTCACCTACACTATGTAATTTTAAGTTGACCTAAGTAGTCTATTTTCTTACCTCTTACCTCTTTATTAATTTCATATATACTCATTTCTATGACAAGTTCGTGTGTGATCAGATTGTTCGAAATGTTTGTTGAGCAAATACAACAGTATACGATTCATAGTCATTTGTCTAGAAGGGTCCATAAATTATGGTTGCATGATGGTTGCATGAAACAATTTCCAGATGAAAATCTGGGTACCGATTGGTCGAAAACGAAACCTGGTCCGGTCACTTGCCAATCGTATTTGGCGCATATGTAGCACTGATACTGTGGAAGATGAGATTTACATTTTGAAGAAAATCCTAATGGAAAATGGATTTCCACCACGTTTTATAGATAAGACATTCAAATCCCATAAAACGTGACTCATCATTCGTACCCAAGAAAATACTTTACATGAGCTTGCGATTCCAAGGGGGCTTAGCTTCCGATATCATGAAACGTAGGATACCACAGTGCCTGAAAAGAACATTCTCTGCTGCATCTCTGAGAATAGCTTTTACTGGTCGACCATTACTGTTTGGTAACCTGAAGGATAAGATCCCGCTGTTGACCAACTCTATGTGTGTTTATCAATTCACCTGCTCAAGTAGAGCTAGGTATATTGGTCGTGCGACTCGAGTTTTGTTCAAGAGGGCACAGGAATAATATCCTGCATGGCTACGAAAAGGTGGAAGTGGAGCAATAAGAAGCACGATTATTGAACATCTGGTCGATAACGATCGCCCTATCTCTATAGCCGCCGCCTTTAAAGTCATCTACAAGGCAAAGAGTAATTTCCCCAAATCCCTACGTACTCGACTCATCTGTATTGCTGAAGCCATCTTTGGCTATCGAAACAGAAAAGCCAGATCTCTGTGTACAGAAAAAAGTTCGTTCAACCCCTCCAACTTTCATGGTCTTAATCCCTCTATGCTAAAATATGGTAATCTCCAAACATATTTTAGCTCTACCAATTTTTCATTTTCTCATTTTGTCTATTCGATTTGTATACTCTTCCTTATTACGTCAATTGTTATTATTACCATTCTCGCTTTGAACTGTCCCCGGTATTATTTCACTTGTTCAACTTGTCATTCCAAATCAATTCTTTTTTACAACGATAAATTCTGTGCTATTAAATTTCATACAATATTACGTAACCTTTTTGTTTTATTCGATAAGTTATGTGTCTGTGAAAACTATGTGGTTGGATTGAATTGCCACTCCTTCCTTCCTACTATTATTATTGTCCTCTAGGGTCCCGAAAAAACATGAGATTTCTGTGGCACAACTCCAGTTTGTCGTATTCTATGCGATGGCTCTTCGCTCACTCCACTGCTACACTCCCACCTCCTCCTTTTCGTCCCATCCTGACGGCCAACTTGACTTTTTCTGTGCGGCTCCCACCGGATTCTCTACTCAGCATGTGATGTCACTCAAAATAGTCTTCCCACTGTGTCTCCAATCCATCTCCATTTTCTGAAGAATATCTCTTGGGCAATCGGTTTATGATTGATTGAAGTTCCAGAGTCACTTGTCGCTAATTCTTTCAGGCTGTCTTATCTTCAGTGAGCATCCAGAGAAACAAGATATTGATAAATGTTTGAAGTCCACTACGAATGCTCTCGGTAACATACCTGTCACGTTTCTGACCCATATGCTAGTTTAGAGTCATCATTAATGTTGAAAGTTTGAACTGCGTTCCTTAGTCTGAGTAAAGTAGATATCCAAACAGCCTCACTGTAATTAAAACAGCGATGTAGAGATAACTGAAGGATGTTTTTCTTATTCCTTTACATTCCAAATGGAACACAAGGCTTCAAGCTAGAGGCTTGAAGTTTCAGTAGCAGTGGTGTATCTTTTTTTAATATCCAACCTTCCTCTCTTTATCAGTCTTATTACTGGCTTAGCGAGGTTTCGGAGTGCGTTGGCTTGGGATCGAACCCGAATGTGAAGGATGCGACTTTACTCCAATTGCCCCCCCCCCCTCTGAAAGTGACAACTATTTGCTTTTGTTAGTTGATTGTTGCCATTACATATGTCTTTTATATTTTCACCTGAATTTCTGCCTTCTTCGGCTGCTTCTTGTGCCGTTTTCTTTACTTTCGCCTGTATCTCTTCGAGTTTTTGTGATGCTAAACATAAATCGTCCAAGAATTTCAGATCATATGGAGTATTCTTATCGGTTGATCTTGTTCCTGCTTCTCCATTGCGAAGTGTATATTCTTTCGGAAATTAAGTAATTACAATTATAGCATTCAAAACATAAAATTCTTCAGAGAAGAGACTCTTTTCAACGAATTTATTATCAAAATGTACAATCGTATATATGATGACTTATTATTATTATTATCGTTCCCTTGGGTTCCTAGAGAAACATAGGGCTTCAAATGTACGTCTCCACTTGCTGCTGTCTTCTGCTGTACATTTCACCTGTATCCATGTTAGTCCATACTCTTTCAACTCCTCTTCACACGATATCCTCCATGTCACACTTGCGCTGACTTACCATTCACCACTTCCCCTTCGAGTTACTCGAGGGCCTGACGCGCGATGTCACCAACCGGCCTCCTCACCGAGTGTCCAATCCATCCACCTCCACTTTCTCCTGCATATTTTTTGGGCGATTGGTTTGTTCTTGTCTTGTTTGTTTGTTCCCATAGTTTCTTGTTGGTGATTCTTTCCGGCTCGGCCATCTGATCTTCAGTATAGATCCAGCGAAGACAGTTGTTGGTTGATAAAGGTCTGAGTTAGCCTGTTGGAAATATTCTTTGTGAGCCGTCCGCCAAGTTTCTGATCCGTATGGAAGAGCTGACTGACTCGACGTTTGTATTGAGGATCCAACCGAATTTTGTTGTTGATGCTGGGTGACGAAGATTTCCAGATTGGTTTCAGGTTGATGAATGTGTTTCTCGCCTTCCCAATTCTCGCTCGATTTGACATCCTCCTCCGTTCGGACAGCCTGTAGTTGAGACAGTGCTCCCTAGATAAGTAAGTGAATGAAGTAACCTCCTTCAAATCCCTACCGTTGATGGTGATTGGCGCTGGATGTTGCTGCTGTTGTTGTTGTTGGTTGGTTATTTTCATAACCTTGCTAGTTTTCTAGCCTCACCTAGACTACTAGCTTGCTAGTTTTCCAGCCGGTCCCAAGCCCGGATAAAGAGGGAGGGTTGGGGCGTGGTGCTAGCAACTCCACTCCTAAAACTCAACCAAACTGCTACAGAAACTTCAATGCACGAATATATTAAAATTCTAAAAAATGATATTTTATACTAAGAAATTAAATCCAATGAGGGAATTAGGTCAAAGGTGTGAATACAAGAAATAATAGTAATAATAGTAGTATGAGATTCAATTAAAATATTTCTGACTATAATCATAGTTAAATGTCAAGTAGCAAAACAAGCAATATCATATGCAGAGTAATACATAAGCTGTATAGATATTGGAAAGGGGTGAATAATCATAGCGTTAGTAGGCGAATATAAAATGTTACATAAGATAGAATTCAATATTGTAAAAATTATAATTTTGGATTTAGAATGACAAGTGAGACAAGCAGAAACAATTGAAAGTGAGAACAGCAATAGTAATCATAGTAGTAAGGGAGAAGTACGTAGAATAACTAAATAAACAAAATAAATAAATGTCTATCTCCCTACAGCTAAGGCAGAAGTAGAGATTGTACATACTTATTTTGTACACAGGGGCCGGTCTTAAATTCATGGGTGGCCAAATCCTCCACTTCATTTGGAAGTCTAGAACGAAGAAAACGCGGTAAATTAGCACGGATTCGGTAGATGATCTTTAAATCATGGTAAGGATCGGTAGAGTGACACGGATCAGTCGAGTGTTCTAGAATAAAGGCCTCACACACTCTTTTTTTCTCCCTTAGAGAACCATGCTAGAATATGTTCTCTTGTCCGTGTGGAAAGCATCCTTTGTCTGCGACCAATGTAAATTGCTCCACAAGAGCAG